AGTAGTCCGAAAAAAAAAAAAAAAAAGAGCTCTATTGTAGAGTACAACCATCTGTGGACGTTATACCGCCCCGATTTGCCCAAAAATTCCTGATACTGAATTGGCATTGCACTTGAACATTTAAAAGTTACAAGAAAATATAGAAAATAACACAAAAAAAAAGACAATTATACCCCGTAAATATACGAAAATACAGTAATTTATCAAAAATAATTTGGTATTAATTTAGTTATAAATAAGTACCTCGTATAATTTATGTACAAAAAGTAATGATATCCCATCAAAAACATAAATGTGAAATAATAGCCGAGTTTAATATTATGATATATGCCTTGATTGTTGACTTCTACGACAAAAGAGATGAGATCTAAATGGGTGCCAAGTTCAATGGTCTGTCCTGAAATGTATTTATAACAATATAAAATATCATTTCTTCTTATAACTTACGATAATATACTGTAGCCTAAGGTCTAACTTGGCTAGTTTTCATATACGAAATATACTGTAGCCTTCGCAAGTTCTAAACATGTTACTTGTCGGTTCCTATTTTAATATTAATAGTAACTAGCAATCGAAAGTAATAATTGGTATATGAGAACTGGCCAAGTTAGACCTTAGGCTACAGTATATTATCGTAAGTTATAAGAAGAAATGATATTTTATATTGTTATAAATACATTTCAGGACAGACCATTGAACTTGGCACCCATTTAGATCTCATCTCTTTTGTCGTAGAAGTCAACAATCAAGGCATATATCATAATATTAAACTCGGCTATTATTTCACATTTATGTTTTTGATGGGATACAATTTAACCTGAATAATATAGGTAGTAGTAATTCTATTAAATAATAATATGTATTAAAATGTTGGTTTTCGCCTGTGTATTTTATTATAAAATAATTTTGAGAAACTATTAAATTATATATAAACTTAGCTATTTTTTTTACGACAGTATAGGCGGGGTCTAATCACCTGGCGTGGTATATGCTTAAGACAGCGCTGTTTATATATGTATATTAAAGCTCGCCTAAATGTATTGGTTTTCTTTAGGTGAAAAATTTCATAATATTTTTTTCCTTATTACGGAACCTAGTCTCAAAGTCACTAATAATAATATTATCATTAATAATATTTACTTTCTCTATCCACCCAATGGTAGGAAAGATTGCTTAGCGATAAGACCACTTTTTGTATAAGTAAAAGTAAAACAAATATATTCTGAATTGGTGCAAAGAGTATAATTAAAAAGAAATACACCATTCTTTCGATAACAGGATATACTAAGATTGTTTAATAAAAATAACAATACAAATATGCTGTGACTAATTAAATTAAAACCATTGTTTACTGATTAGAATTGTTATCTAACTTTATGCAACAGCATATGCATGGAGCAAAATATATTGAGTTATTTATGTATTTCATAAATCTCACAAAGGCAATAAATAATCCTTACACGTGAACCTATTCAGTCACACGAGTAATTGATTAAAGACTATAGCTATGTAAGTGACTATAGAGTAAAAAGAAAAATAATAGCCATTTCTTATTTTATATTCTCGTATAATAATGTATAGTAGATAGACATATCTCTTATTCCAAAGCAGTTTACGGCTTAAACTGAACTGACTGGATTTTAAAAAGTTTATAATACGCCCCTCTGGCAAACGTACTACATTTGTTTCTGTATAGCTAAATCTTATCATCAATGAGAATGAGAACAATAGTTACTCGGCAGTAGGATAATTTAAGATGGTTATGATTCTAATAAACTGAGATACATGTTTATATATGTTTCACAATTTATGAAATTATGACGTGAAGGCATTGTGCAGCACGAGGGACTTGGAAATAAAACAGCATATTAATCTTCAAGTTTTACTGAATATACATGAATAAAAACCACGTCAATACACTTACATACATGTTGAAAATTGTGATCCACACAAAAAATTAACATATAATTGTGCTACTCTCAGTGCATCAACTTCTTATCAGATAATAACACACAAGCATCTTTGCATATTGAACATTCAAACTCGATTATTTTGTATAAAATATGAATAAATTCTGAAAATTTAAAATCATATAAATAATGAAATAATTTTGATTTCAAAAGTACTAACATTTTAGCTTTGGTAGATTAGAAATGCAAAACTAACACTAACGGTGTTGCTATATTTAAAATAAAACGTGTATAATCCGGTTAAGTAGTATACTTATATTAATTGGTGAAAATCTTTTATGTTTCTCTATTTTAAGCTAATATTATGTTGCAGTGAAAATACAAAAAAAAGCACCAGTACGTTTGATATGGTTTAGCAGAAAGGCCACTTGAACTTTTGATTTGATGTTTTGATGCTCACTTACCCAGGTATTGTTATATATATTTTATGAGACAGTCATGCAAATAAATTTAATAATATTGTATTCATAATTAAAATAAAATATCCACCTAAACAAAAACAAGTTCTTACTCTTTTACATTATCAAAAAAGTATAAGGGTCGAGTCCATTCTGCTAAACCTAATCCAATTACAAATTAGCGGCTACATAAGGGGGCAGAGTAGGTACTAGTACTTTGTGCTCTCTGTATATTTTAGTTACTATTAAAACCATCGTATGAGCATTCGCCCTCACAGATTACGATTACACCACTTAGACCTAGTTAGAACTATCAAAACTTGTATCTAATTAAATAATACTTAACTATTACATCTTTATGTATGGCACTGAAGCCATTAAATTAACAGCTCGTAAGTTGATACAGACTTAGAAAGATAAATATATGTTTATTCGTATATACTGGATGACTTTGTTAACTTTACAGAAAATGTAGGTCGCTAATTGAAGAATTAATGCAATTGACATTATCACAAAAAATATCATTTTGGAGTATAAAGTTGGAATAAAAAAATGCTTATTCTATATGTATTTTAGAAATTGTAGCCTGACAACAGAAACACTTTGTTGCGCGTTGATTGAGAGATCTGAATGTTAAAGAAATAAAGTGAATTTACTTTAATGTTGTTCTTTCTTGGAGAATGCTAATCATTCTATATCCCAGTACTACTACAGTACGTTAGAAGTACCTATATGCTCAAACATATAGGTATCTTAACATATTTTGAAATTTTAGAAAACCACAATTTGTTAAAAAAATACCTTAAATCTGTATCAACTTAAGACCCATTACAATTTGAGATAAATAAACACATTTCTCTAATAATATCATTAAGTAAATGTATAATAAAATATAACAAATATTTGAAATAAAAAGGTCATTTCATTTTTTTATATATGAGGTACAGTTACAAAAAAATCACGCTCGTTACGAGATTCATACAGTTTTACAGTTACTATATAATCTCTTTACACTTAACTAAATAAAAATTCTTATCCAAATCTATTTTTTTTACACTAGAAGCCCTAATACACCATTTTGATGTACACTCGAATACAGTCAGTTGTTCTTTATAAATTTGCTTTTATATTGTGTTTCCGAACGACATCTACATCGTGTTGGTAAATATAAAGTCTTTTGATTATTTTTTTATAGAAAAAAAACGAGAAGACTTTATTTTTATATCAGGTCATTTCTATCGTTATTTTTTAATAAATTTATTTCTTTGAATATTCGATGTTATTGAAAATGAAAATATACCATAAGATCAGCGAACAATCTTATGTCAATTATATACCTAATTACTTTTATTATGGTACGTAACTTTGACGTAACATTTACCGTTACAGTTTGAAAGGTTTGATAGGGCTTCTAGTATTAATTAGTAATTAAGAAGAAAATCTGTTTTTATCTTAAATCTAATTGAAACCGACTGCCAGCAAATACTGGATATGAGGAATGCGAATTGATAATTGCATTTATTCTAAATAGAACCATTATCACATTAGGATACTACTAAAATAAATGAAAATGCGGAGATACATTTAATTCATAGACTAGTATATATTGAACATAATAAATTGCATGCACAACCTAAACCAGTGAGTTTAAAACTACAATAAATAAATAATTTAATATAATTTCATAAAATATCCGCAAGAACTATAAGTTTTTGATGTTATATGCTGTTCTTGAATCTCTCCCTCAGCGGATAGGCAAATAAATAGTAATATACAATATAAAATGGGGTGAGGCCGATATACTATAAAAGTATTTATTTTGACACGTCGACGTTCGCGTGAACGTATGAATAATTACGATAGCAGTACAATTAGCTATTAATCATTTTTAGAAAAGGACATCAATAATGTCTACGACGCACTAAATTACATTTATTATTAGAATTTCTAAACTGCACTTGTTGAACACCAAATATTTTCGTTTACCCTAACGACAGTTAGCTAAATAAAAAAATATAGGTATCATATTCATTTGATTGTATAACAGTCATTAAATTTGTAACCATCTACAATGGGAAAAAATTTAGGCAATTGGTCAAAATTGTATTAGTATTCATTAAGTAGTACGCTAGAATAACTCTTGAACATTTTTACGACGACCCTTGCTCTCGGATGACACAACACTAGTTATCAAAATTCATTATCGCCATACATATAGAACTGCGACAAATCTGAACTGTTTCTAACATGGGTTGCAAATCTAACTGCACACATTCGATACTTATGATGTATTATACAATAGTTTAATTTAAATGTTAAGTTCGCAGGGGTTAATCGAACATTGAGAGGGTGTTTAGTTTCTATTTACTCATTAGTGCATACATAGTCGACATGTGTATGCCCTCGCTGCTATATAATTGCTTCTACTTAGACACATGAACACAATAGCAAAAGCCAGTCTCACCTAGCTAAACGCACACCCAATGATCGACAAACATAGGGTGCTAGCATCGTGTTAAACTCGCAATATGAATATTATACTTACTCAAGTTAGTGGTATAATAATCCCCTCCGATCGATCCCCCGTACAATTCAAACGGGAATCGAAATTACGACGGCCTGAGCCGAGGTTCGAAACTCGTATCCGTCAGGCGGGAGTTGGCATTCAGCCGCTCTATATGTCCTACGAGTTTGGAGTGACATCAGCAGTCACCCCCTATCGTCCGGTGAAGCTGTAAAGGCCATCTGCGGCCAACAGCATTAGAGTAGCTCGAAAAAAAGTGGTAAATACGAGTCAACACAACGCGCGCTATTACCCCTTACTCCTGTCTCCTGAATATAGCATTAGCTTGCGTCAAACCATGGAGATTTGACAGATAAACAATTATAGATACAATAACTGATACCGCATTTATTGATTTGGCACAATATGTGGGCGCCTAAAAATTCAGTTAAGTGGCAGCTCAATAGATATCGCTCATGATTCGTACATAGTCACCGCTCTGTAATACAATGTCAGCAACATATCACCATCTCAGATAAGCTCACTGGCCAGTCTAACCGTCATTTAACTAACATTACAAAATATCGCATGCAACTCCGACTGCTATTCGTTAGTAAATAACATATTGCTGATCTAAAGACTGGCTGTCCAGCTCTTTACTGATAACTATAACAATTTTATTATTATTTAAGAAAATATATTTGAAAAATATATCTGTACTTTTCGTCGTTGAGTCTGACAATCTTATATATAATAAATCATTATATGGACAATGTTGCTCAGAGCTAATCTGTGACACATGGCATCCAATTTGGCGATAATATAAAGAAACAAATTTATAAAAACACATTTAAAATGTATCCGTTTTAAATAATAATTACAAAAAACAGAACAATTGTTTTTTATTACATAAAACCCAGAACTGTAATAATTAAATTTAATGTGAAACAGCCTGGCTCCGGGCATCATCAGTTTGCTTTAATTCATTTTAACAAAATAATTTATAGGTTGAACTCGGAACAAATTACTTACCTATCTAATGAAAGCACAGCACAAAAGGTAGGCAGGTATATATAGAAACAAACATTAAAACATTTGATGGTCTTGTTTTGTCGCGACGAACAACGCTTCTTCTGTTTACGCTGTGTGTATGTGACATTACATTGCGCGAACATTCTGGAAAAAAACAATACAATCATTTCAGAAAAAAACTTGATTCAAAGTATAATTAGAATAATTTCAACAGGAGGGTTAAAGACAAATAAGTCGGGCTGATATGTAGGGTCAACCAATATACAAATATAATTATATATGTATTTATTGACATACGCTCTATTTACACAACTAGCGAGTTCATGATCATATTTCTGGTTCATCCGTGATATCAATCGAAAGGACCGGAGATAATTATAAAACGGTAGGATTACAAATTTAATAAAACGTCTTCTTTAATTATTTTATTATTGCAATTATGTAAAAACTAAACTATAGGGACATATTGTGTTGACAATACATGTCCATGGCAAGTATCGCCTTGCGACTATTACGAAGACTTTCTTCAATAGAACCTTATTATGCAAATATATTAATCAACTTTCTCTTAAAATACTTTTCACATTTTTCTCACTGTATTCATATTGTATATCCGGTGCGTCCGTATATTATATAACTTTACCATATTACTTTAGCAATTGTAAACCATCGCATTGAATACTATGCGAATGCGAGTCGAATACAAATAGGATAGTTGTATCTCCACTATTCTTCATGTCGATGATTAATCGAATATCTCGTTCATTGAAATTAAAAACATAGAAGTAAAGAGTTTTATAGCGAAGTGGCCTGCATGGTAATATTTGTTTAAATTTTTTTCTTACTTGACCACACACGGTTGTTGGCTGTTGTCTATGGATAGGATATTAGGTTTGTTAACATACACACAACAATGTGAATATTACAGAAAATTCAGTAAATAAATACGAGTATTATTAAAACCGTTTTCCAGTAAGGTAATGTTTTGACTTGAATCTTGTTCAATTCGACACATCGCTTTACGTTTGCCCGTGTTTTAGTATCAATCAATGTCGAATTTTATATGCAACAACGGCCGTGATTAGTTCTTTATTGTTACCTATATTTATTTATACATTACAATGTTATATTTTTTTGGACTATTCTAATGCTGTTTGCCGTAGATATCCTTTACAGCTTCACCGGACGATAGGGGGCGAGTGCATATGGCACTCCAAACCCGCAAAAGGACTTATGGAGCGGCTGAAGGCCAACTTCCACCAGACGCATACGACTTTGTTCTGAAGGCACCGCTAGGGATTAGAACCTATGCTCAGGACGTCGTAATTTCGATCCCCGTTTAAATTGGATGGTGGTCGATCGGAAGACGTTATATATAGTCCTTTTTTGTAATAAAAACTATTTATTTTATCGTTTACATACTATAGTAACGGCCACCTTGCGTGGGTCTCGCTGCTTTCGATATGACTATACTGTGCTATTATCAGACTCATGTGGCTTGGTGTAGAATATACTTACACTTATATATAAATACCATTTTATAAAAGCATTTTAACGACTTTTATTCCGTGATGACTAATCACAACTCTTCCTCCTTGAAATATAAAAACCAACTACAGGGAAAAGAGAGAAGTGAACGACTTTATGCGTACCTATATAAATAGAATTCATTTTAGTGCGTCTAATACTCTACAATTGGGGAAAGGGTCAGTTCTGGGAACATGTAGCTCATTGCTAGCAATGCCAAGTCCCTCCCTATCAGGTCGAGATCTATGTAAATCATCATCATTACTTCTTGATGAATCACCACATGGACCTCAGTTGGTCATAAATTCATTGTCCATTGAAACCACGACAGCGTATATACCTTCAGCAGAGAATATAGCTTCATTCCATATTAAGCAGTTAAAATACTCTTAAATTGTGGCAGGAAAGATTATTTAGAATTATATCACTTGCAAAAATGATTGTCATCTCGCTGTAGGTACTATATTCAGTAGTTTGTTGTTCTCTCGCGATAAAAATAGATAGCACGGACCAAGGCCGTTCGCAAACGCAGATTATTACATACTTATTAATGCATTTGTTATTTATATGTAATTAAATTAATTAATTCAAATTAACTGTTTGTGAAGTACATGTTACAAAGGTCATATATTTAGAGTAAGTTTAACTGTCTACATTTACACGTACAAATATGATTGAAAAGAAAATATATATATATATATATATATATAAACACCTCTTTGGGCACTTTGTTGATCACGCCACAACCTAAACACTTGCTGATTCCACCTTTTGCACTGAATAACTTGACCTCTATCGCGTATATCTCAGGCGGTATGGCAACGTCGCATTCTATTTTGCGATGTGGCCATATATATTCGTCGATAGTACGATATACTCGACACTTTTTTTACTAATAATTCGTGACTGAATGGCTCCGAACGGCTAAATTTTTGGTATACACAAAGACTTTTTGGCTCTGAATATATTCCAAAAATCAATTAATTATGTTGATCACTTTATATACTCGTCCTTACTGCGATACTTATTTACATCCGAATATATATAGATACCGTAACGGTCTACCAATTATGACTTTATTAATTTACTAATGTAGATATTTTATATTCGCAATGCTCCATACATGCAAGCTCCAGCAACGGTGGAGGCAGGGTCCCCCCTGCACCGTACACCGCACCCCGCGCACACAAACAAATTAGATATTTTTTGAATACACAAAGACTTTTTGGCTCTGTATATATATTTCAAAAATCAGTTAATTGTGTTGATCACTTTATATACTGGTCCTTACTGCGATACTTATTTTAATCCGAATATATATAGATACCGTAACGGTCTATCAATTATGAATTTACTAATCTAGATATTTTATATTCGCAATGCTCCATACATGCAAGCTCCAGCAACGGTGGAGGCAGGGGGGAGCACCGTACACCGCACCCCGCGCACACAAACAAATTAGAATAAATTAAATTCATAAGATTATTTATATATTTCGACTGCCTCGGTGTTCACACCGCTTTACATCCGATGGTCGCGGGTTCGATTTCTCGCACGATGCAAACATTTGTACTCATCGGTCATCGATTGTTTTCATCGGTCTGGGTGTTTTATATGTATATTATATATGTATTTACAAAATAAAAAATATCTATTTATATCAGTTCAGTATCAGTCTGTGTTAATTGTCCAGGGTTATTTATTATATTTTTATAAACGGTTATCTTTTTCCATCGCACCGCTCGCTATCGACAGTGAATTCATAGAAATGTCACTCTAAAAACAAAAATAGTTTTGTGTTTTGTATTTCAAATACTAAATGCAAAATAGGTATTTTCAAAATACTTTTTAAAAATTAAGTACCTTTTGAATTTTTGTCCAAACCTCAGATATTTTATTTATTTTAGGTATATCAATAATTACATAGTAATATAAAAACAAAGTCGCTGTCGCATCTAACAGTACATAAACAAAGAAAGAAGACTTTGGCTCTGATACCGTAACGGCCTATGAATTATGAATTTATTATACCGAATCTAGATATTTTATATTCGCAATGCTACGTACATTGTAATATCCGCCTCCATTCATTGTAACGGTGGAGGGACTAAATAGTTGAATAAAACTGAATAAGCAGTTGCTCCACTCTATAGGTACTGCGTCGTCGTCGTATGCTGTTCATTTTTTCACTCGTTTTGGCGCCAAGAGAGGGTCACATAGTCGTGGTCAAGTTAAGAACTTATAATTTAATTTTGATAACAATAGATACAAGTAAAAAGTAGGTATTATATTAATGTACGTAAGTACTGTACTTAAAAATATTTATTCTTTACTGTATGTACATTTGAAAAACTTAACACTTAAGGACTTGTACATATACACGTACATACTGCCATTTTCTCTTAAAGACATCCAGAGAAGCACTATTTATTAAATACGCGGGGTGCACCGACCTTTGACCTTATAATAGCCGATTCGCGCGTAACGAATTACATTGCTACTTTTTGGTATTTTATAGTGGATATGTCACTATAAAATATTATTATTTCTTTAGATTATGACATAATAACATAGTTTACATGATTTTAAGGGAAACATACGATAAAAAAAAATCCCGTAAAATGTAAAAGATAAAAAATGGTTATTGTTGTTTATCCTTAAGAGATAGACATATACCATCACGGACTTTTTTGTTGACCTTATTTTGATACATCTCAAAGCACTAGACAACACGCATTTTCATTAAACAGTATTGTATTTTTTTATTTCTTTAACTTTAATGCACAAAAAAATTTGTACATGTGGCGGACTTAATATTTTGCCGCGTTATTTACCAGGCAACCATGAGTGGTGCAGCGAAAGATTATTGGCGGTGCACTAATATAAATAAGAAATGTCAAAAAAAGATTTATAAAGATAATAAAGATAAGCAAAATATACATTTCTATAAAAAAATAACAATATACATACATAAATATATATGTAAATATAACCCATAAATGTATAAATATTATATATAAGTAAATACATAATGATCCGATAATCAAATTATAAGTACAGTCTCAAATTGAAAGTAAGAAAAACAGAAAATATAGAGAGAACTATATGGATATAACAGAAAGATGTGAAAAAAGGAGGAGGACAGTAAAAAAGTTACAAATTTAAGTAATGTTCCCGCAATTTCTGTTTAAATGAATTTATTACATTATTATATATATTAGGCATACGACTAGCCTTATGACTGTTACTTTTTTTTTAATCTATACATCTATACATGTAAATAAAATTGGAGTGTCTGTTTGTAATATTGAAATAACCTTTTTTTACTACTTGCATATGAATATAAATACGGTACATACACCAAAATAACATATTTTACAAGTTTTGTCTGTCTGTCTGTCTGTTTGTTCCGGCTAATCTCTGAAATAGCTGGACCGATTTTGACGGGACTTTTTTTGGCAAGTAGCTGATGTAATAAGGAGTAACTTACGCTACTGTTATTTTAGAAAAATAAAATAAAATTTCACGCGGACGAAGTCGCTGGGGCCAGCTAGTCTATAGATATACCGAGATTTAATGTTTAAGTTGCTATTATGTTGTTGACAAAATTTTACTGT